TTTTCCCCAAACTCCACCAGTGTTCACATTTGGGCATATTGAGTATTTGGTCCAGATCCATCATTGTTTGAGTCCACAGTGCTTTTTGGATGTAGGTGAACTACAACTCCAAAACTCAAGGTCAATGTACACCAAGCCCTTCCAGTATTTTCTGTTGGTTATAGGAGTTCTGTGAACCAAGTTTGATTTGATTCCATTGCTGGTGGAATTCAGAATGTTCTCTGATTGTAGGGGAACTATAAATCCCAGCAACTACAACTCTTAAATGACAAAATCAATCCCCACCCAACCTCACCAGTATTCAAGTTTGGGAATATTGGGTATTTGTGCCAAATTTGGTCCAGTAAATGAAAATACATCCTGCATATTGGATATTTACATGACAATTCATAACAGTAGCAAAATTACAGTTATGAAGTCACAACAAAAATAACGTTTTGGTTGGGGGTCACCACAACATGAGGAACTGTATTAAGAGGTCACGGCATTAGAAAGGTTGAGAACCACTGGGTTAGACCCTTGTGCCGGCTGAACTGCTGACCTTAAGGTCAGTATTTCAAATCTGCAAGACAGGATGAGTTACCATCTGTCAGCCCCAGTTTCAGACGCAGGGGCATGAAAGCATCCTCCCACAGGATGGTAACACATCTGGGCATCCTTTGGGCAACGTCTCTGTAGATGGCTGATTCTCTCACACCAGAAGTGACTTGCAGTATGTACTCAATTCGCCTCTGACACGATAAAAAAACAATAACAAAAACCACTCCCATCATTACCAACCCGTACAGAGCAAAGATGACAGGTGGGAGAATCCACCACGCATTGCCCTCTGCTCCTTGAGACATGTTTTAATAACAATAACAATAAATATTCAGAACGAACTTGAGCTAGAAAGCAATCTTTTCCTCTTCAGGAACAAGATAAGCCTAGCAAGGTTATACTATGGATCTAGTCTGGAGTTTTGAAGACATTTCCTTGTTGGGTTAAAGCACACACAGGCAAACTTGGGCCCTCCAGGTGTTTTGGACTTCAACTCCCACAATTCCTAACAGCTTCAGGCCCTTTCCTTTCCCCCCTCAGCTGCTTAATGAAGTCCAAAACATCTGGAGGGCTCAAGTTTTCCCAAGCCTGGGTTAAAAGGATTTCAGAGTTTCTTAATCCCATGCTTCAATATTTCCAGTTTGCAGATTGGATTCTGTTGGCTTTGGAGCCTGGTGGGTGGAAGTATACAATTACTAAATGTGAGAAAGTCATTAAAATGCGTAAATAGGAAAGAACGATCCCCCAGCTGCTGGGTCTCAAGAACAAAGTGAGGATGTTTTTCGACCGCCAGAGACTGAATTTTTCAAATTTTGGCATCTTATCCTCTCCTCTCTGAGTTTCAGTCCCCCCGCTCCCCAAAAACAAAGAACTGGCTTCTATTACACCATCATAGTGCATGTCTAAAATTGGATGCACATTCTCCCCATTCTTCTTCTTCTTCTTCTTAATAATAATAATAATAATAATGATAACAACAACAACAACAACAACAAAAGTTATAAATAATAATGATGCGTTGTCGAAGGCTTTCATGTCTGGAATCACTGGGTTGCAGTGAGTTTTCCAGGCTGTATGGCCATGTTCCAGAAGCATTCTCTCCTGACATTTTGTCCACATCTATGGCAGGCATCCACAGAGGTTGAGAGGTCTGTTGGAAACTAGGGCAAATGGGGTTTATATATCTGTGGCATGTCTAGGGTGGGAGAAAGAACTCTTGTTTGTTTGAGGCAGGTGCAAATGTTGCAACTGGCCACCTTGATTAGCACTGAATAGCCTTTCAGCTTCAAGGTCTGGCTACCTACTGCCTAGGGGAATCCTTTGTTGGGAGGTGACTCATGTCTGGAATTCCTCTGTTTTCTGAGTGGTCTTTATTTATTGATTTTAGACGTTTTTTTTAAAAAAAAAAACTACTGGTAGCCAGATTTTGAACAGACCTCACAACCTCTGAGGATGCCTGCCATAGATGTAAGTGAATTGAAACGTCAGGGGAGATCCGAGGGGAGATTAGCACTGAATAGCCATTGACCACCTTGATTAGCATTTGAACAAAATATGACTCCCCGGGCAGCAACCAGCCAGGCTTTGAAGCTGCAAGGCCATGCAATGCTAATCAAGGTGGCCAACTGCAACATTCACACTTGCCTCAAGCAGACAAGAGTTCTTTCTACCACCCTGGATGTTATTCCACAGATATATAAACATCACTTGCCTAGTTTCCAACAGATCTCACAACCTCCAAGGATGTCTGCCATAGATGCAGGCGAAACCTCAGGGGAGAATGCTTCTGGAAAACTCACAGGTACCCAGTGATTCTGGGCATGAAAGCCTTTGACAACACATCTTATTATTATTTATTACTTTTATTATTAACTAGCTATCCCCAGCCATGCATTGCTGTGGCCCAGTCTGTGTATATATGTGTGTTTGCGTTTATATATGTGGTTTTACACATGCGTTGTAATGCAATTTTTATTTTTTGGTTTTTAAAGTTTCTTCTGCTCTGCTTTTCAGTGTTTTTATGACTGATGGTCACTTGTTGACCTGATAAGTGTATTGTGTTTAAATTTGGTGTAAATTCGCCCAGTAGTTTTTGTGTTATGTTAATCCCACAAACGAACATTACATTTTTATTTATATAGCTAAGAAGAAGGAGAATGGGGAGAATTCCACAAATATATAAACCTCACTTTCCACAAATATATAAACATAGGTTCCAACAGATCCCACAACCTCTCAGGACGCCTGCCATAGATACAAGCGAAAAGACAGGGGAGATTAGCATTGAATAGCAATTGGCCAGCTTGATCAGCATTTGAAACAAAACCTGGTGACCAGTTTGAAAAATTCTAAAATCAGGACAGTAACAAAAGAACACCACTCAGAAAACAGTGGAACTCCAGACAGGCATCAATCTGGGCCAGCTAACACCTCCCAACAAAGGATCCCCCAGGCAGGGAGCAGCCAGGCTTTGAAGTTGAAAGTCTATTCATTCAATGCTCATCAAGGTGGCCAATGGCAACCTTCACACTTGCCTCATGCAGACAAGAGTTATTTCTTCCACCCTGGACATTATTCTAAAAAACTCTAAAATCTGGACAGTAAAGAAAGAACACCACTCAGAAAACAGTGGAGTTCCAGACAAGCATCTCTGCCCCGGAGCATGGTGGAGGCTCCTTCTTTGGAAGCTTTTTAACAGAGGCTGGATGGTTATCTGTCAGGGGTTATTTGAATGCAATATTCCTGCTTCTTGGCAGGGGGTTGGACTGGATGGCCCATGAAGTCTCTTCCAACTCTTTGATTCTATGATCTATCAGGGCCAGCTAACACCTCCCAACAAAGGACCCCCCCAAGGCAGGAAGCAGCCAGGCTTTGAAGCTGCAAAGCTATTCAATGCGAATCAAGGTGTCCAATTACAACACTCACATTTGCCTCCAACGAAGAGTTCTTTCTTCCACAGATATATAAACCCCACTTGCCTAGTTTCAAACAGACCTCACATCCTCTGAGGATGCCTGCCATAGATGTGGGTGAAACGTCAGGAGAGAATGCTTCTGGAACATGGCCAGGCAGCCCTGAAAACTCACAGCAACCCAATAATAATAATATTAAGATGATGGTGATGGAAGTGAGGAAAGAGTAGAGAAGGCATGGGCAAGCTTGGGCTATCCTAGGTGTTCTGGACTTCAACTCCCACCATTCCTAACAGCCTCAGACCCCTTCCGTTCCCCCCTCAGCTGATTAAGTCTCAGTATATCCCTGGTGAAAGGAAAGCACTTTGCACATCCTCAGATGCTGCTTTATGGCTTTGTGTGTTTCCAAGATGGAAAACAGGCAGGTGATGTGGGAATGGGTCACGGCTGGATGGGATTTTCCATCTTCATCACTATGATACTTCATCTTGTTGGTGGGAAGCTTCCCACCAAAGTGGAATTCATCTTTTTGGACAGATGGCAAGATATTTAACCTCAGCAGACTGAAAGCCAAAACCAAGCTCACAAGATCTGTTAAAAAGGTAAAGGTAGTCCCCTGACATTAAGTCCAGTCATGTCTGACTCTGGGGTGTGGTGCTCATCTCCATTTCTAAGCTGAAGAGCCAGTGTTGTCCGTAGACACCTCTGAGGTCATGTGGCCGGCATGACTGCATGGAGCGCCGTTACCTTCCCGCCGGAGCGGTACCTATTGATCTACTCATATTTGCATGTTTTCGAACTGCTAGGTTGGCAGAAGCTAGGGTTGAAAGCGGAAGCTCATGACGCTCCCCGGAATTGAACCTGTGACCTTTCGACCAACAAGCTCAGCAGCTCAGTGCTTTAACCCACTGCGTCAGAACTCTAATATGCCGATGATAACATAGTCTGTGTGCATTCAGAAGACATACAAACCACTCTAAACACCTTTGCAGAAGCATACGAGAAGCTGGGCCTCTCATTGAACATGGTAATGGTGTAACATTAGAAAATGTTGACCATTTCTATCTTGGCAGCCACCTCTCCACAAAAGTCAACATTGACACTGAAATACAACACTGCCTGAGCTCTGCCAGTGCAGCATTTTCCCAAAGGAAGCAGAAAGTGATTTGGGACAGCTGTAAGGATACCAAGGTGTTTGTTTATAAAGCTATTGTCCTCCCAACACTGTAATACACTGAGGGGGGAAAGGAAGGGGCCTGAGGCTGTTAGGAATGGTGGGAGTTGAAGTCCAAAACACCTGGAGGAAAGCCCAAGTTGGCCCATGCCTTCTCTACTCTTTCCTCACTCCCATCATCATCATCATCTTATTGTTATTGGGTTGCTTTGAGTTTTCCGGACTGTCTGGCCATGTTCCAGAAGCATTCTCTCCCGACGTTTCACCCACATCTATGGCAGGCATCCTCAGAGGTTGTGAGGTTTGTTGGAAGCTAGGCAAGTGGGTGAGTCTCTTTCTATTGAGTCCCATCTCTTCTTTAGTTCTGAACTCACCTTTGGCAGGAAGCAGAAGCGCCGGAGTGATCCTTCGGAGGGAAGAGAAGGAAAGCCAAAGCTCTCTCTCCAGATTCAAAAAGCGGGCTTCCTTTCGCGGGATTGGCGGCTCACACGTCCGCTTGCCTGGCCCATCTTTCCCCCCAAAATAAAGTCAAAACCTTGCCAAGTGAACCTTTATAGCCGTCCCTTTCCTGGGTCGGGACTCTGGAAGAGGAGGAGAAAGAAAGAAAGAGAGAGAGAGGCAGAAGTTGGGGAGAGATGAGGAGTTCCCAAAAATCCCGTGTTTCCTGGAAGCGGTGTGAATGCGGTGACGCGTGTCGGGGGGGGGCGAGAAGAAGCCTCCTTTGGTGATAGAGGGGAAGGAAAGGGAAGGAAGGAAGGAAAGGAGGAGGGTTTTGGGGAAGGGGAGAGAAAAAGACCCTTAAGGAGCGCCAATGTGGCAATTTCAAGGCATTGCTGGCTGCCGTTTGATGGGAAATGAGCAGGGAAAGGAAAGGGCTTGCAGGGAAAATCTTGAAATTGATCCGATTCGGTTCCGATCGAAGCTGGTCTCGTCTGGGCGGGAAGGGGAAACCTTCCTTCCCTCCTTCTCTCCCTCTCTCTCTCTCTCTCTCTCTCTCCTGCTGCGTGTGGCTGGGAGGAGCGTGGCCGAGTATTTGTGTTTATGAATGGCGCCCCTTTTCATTGGCCGCCGGGGGGGCCCCAGCTGGCCTCTGATTGGCCGGAAGTGGCCGCGGAGAGGCCAACCCCCTCCCTCCCTCCCTCCCTCCCTCCCTCCCTCCCGCCCACTATTTTTGATTTCTTTTTTTTTCTTTTCTGGGTGATTCCTGGAAGTGTGGAAGGGACTGTTGGTAAGAAGGAGGGGAAAAGGCAGCCCGTCCCCGCCCCCCACCCTCCCTCCCTCCCTCCCTGCCGCAGAGAAAAGAGGGAAGAGAGGTTGGGTAAGGTGATCCGGGAGGGAGGAAAGAAGAGCAAGACAAAGAGAAGAGAAAGGGAGAAGATAAGAGAGAGAAAAGAGAGAAGGAAAGAGAAAGAAGAGACAGAAAGAAGAGCAAGACAAAGAGAAGAGAAAGGGAGAAGATAAGAGAGAGAAAAGAGAGAAGGAAAGAGAAAGAAGAGACAGAAAGAAGAGCAAGACAAAGAGAAGAGAAAGGGAGAAGATAAGAGAGAGAAAAGAGAGAAGGAAAGAGAAAGAAGAGACAGAAAGGAAGAAGGAAGAAAGAGAGAAAAGGAGAAGGAAGAGTGAGACGAAGAGAAGAGAAAGGGAGAAGATAAGAGAGAGAAAAGGGAGAAGGAAAGAGAAAGAAGAGACAGAAAGAAGAGCAAGACAAAGAGAAGAGAAAGGGAGAAGATAAGAGAGAGAAAAGAGAGAAGGAAAGAGAAAGAAGAGACAGAAAGAAGAGCAAGACAAAGAGAAGAGAAAGGGAGAAGATAAGAGAGAGAAAAGGGAGAAGGAAAGAGAAAGAAGAGACAGAAAGAAGAGCAAGACAAAGAGAAGAGAAAGGGAGAAGATAAGAGAGAGAAAAGAGAGAAGGAAAGAGAAAGAAGAGACAGAAAGAAGAGCAAGACAAAGAGAAGAGAGAGAAAGAGAGAAGGAAAGAGAAAGAAAGAGAAAGAAACAAAAAAGAAGAGAAAGGGAGAAGATAAGAGAAAAGGGAGAAGGAAAGAGAAAGAAGAGACAGCAAGAAGAGCAAGACAAAGGGAAGAGAAAGGGAGAAGATAGAGAGAAAAGGGAGAAGGAAAGAGAAAGAAGAGACAGAAGAGCAAGACGAAGAGAAGAGAAAGGGAGAAGATAAGAGAGAGAAAAGAGAGATGGGAAGAGACAGAAAGAAGAGCGAGACAAAGAGAAAGGGAGAAGGGAGAGACATGGAAGAGAAAATAGACAGAGAGAAAAGAATAGGAGAAGAGAGAGAAAGAAACAAGGGAAGAAAGAGGAAGATGAGAGAGAGAAAAGGGAGAAGGAAAGAGAAAGAAGAGACAAAGAAGAGCGAGACGAAGAGAAGAGAAAGGGAGAAGATAAGAGAGAGAAAAGGAGAAGGAAAGAGAAAGAAGAGACAGCAAGAAGAGCGAGGCAAAGAGAAGAGAAAGGGAGAAGGGAGAGACAGGGAAGAGAAAAGAAGAGAGAGAGAGAAGAGAGAAAAGAATAGGAGAAGAGAAAGAGACAAGGGAAGAGAGGGAGGAGAGGAGAGAGAAAAGAGAGAGGAGGAAAGTGAAAGAAAGAAGAGCGAGAAAAAGAGAAGAAGAGAAGGAAGAGACAGAAGAAAAAGAGCGAGAAGAAGAAGAGGGAAGGAGAATAAGAAGAGAAGAGAGAAAGAAAGAAGAGAAAGGGAGAAAAAAGAGAAAGAGAGAAGGGAAGAGATAGGGAGAAGTTAAGAGAGAGAAAAGGGGGAAGGAGAAAGAATAAGAAAGAAGAATAAGGCAAAAAGAAGAGAAGGAGGGAAGAGAAGAGAAAGGGAGAAGTGAATAGAAGAGACAGGGAGAAGAGAGAAAACAATGGGTGAAGAGAAGAGAGAGGAGGAAAGAAGAGAAAGGGAGAAGAGAAAGAGACAAGGGAAGAGTGAGGGATAAGAGAAGAAAGGGAAAAGGAAAGACAAAGAATAAGAAAGAAGAGTGAGACAAAAAGAAGGGGAGAAGGAAAAGAGAAGAGAAAGGGAGAAGAGAAAAGAAGAGACAGGGAGAAGAGAGGAAATAATGGGAGAAGAGGAGAGAGAAGAAAGAGAGGAGGAAAGAGAAGAGAAAGGGAGAAGAGTGAGAAAGAGACAAAAGAAGAGAGAGGGAGAAGCTGAGTGAGAGAAAAGAGAGAATGAAAGGGAAAGAGAAGAAAGAAAGAAAGAAGAGAGAGACAAAAAGAAAAAAGGGACAGGGAGAAGAGAGAAAAGAATGGGAGAAGAGAAGAGAGAGAGGAGAAAAGAGAATGAGAAGAGAAAGCGATAAGAGAAAGAGAGAAAAGAAGAAACAGAGAGAAGAAAGAAAAGAATGGGAGAAGAGGAGAGAGACAGAGAGGAGAAAAGAGAAAGAGAATAGAAAACAAGGAAAGTTAGAAACCAGAGGAGAGGGAAAGGGGAGCAAGGGAGACACGAGAGAAAAAGAGAAAAGAAAGAGAGAATAGCAAGACAAGAGAAGAGAAAGGGAAAAGATAAGAGAGGGAGAAAAGGGAGAACAAAAGAGAGACAGGAAGAGAAAGGGAGTGGATAGCGGAGAAAGACATTAACAGAAGAGAACAGAGAGAACACAAAGGGAGAAGAACGACAAGGCAAGAAAAGGGAGAACAAAAGAGAGACAGGAAGAGAAAGGGAGTGGATAGCGGAGAAAGACATTAACAGAAGAGAACAGAGAGAACACAAAGGGAGAAGAACGACAAGGCAAGAAAGAGAAAAGGAGAGAACACAAATAACAAAGGGAGAAGAGAAAGTAAACAGGAGAAGAGAAGAGAACAAAAAGAAGAGCAAGAGAAGAATGGGAGAAGAGGGGAGAGAAGAGAGACAGAGATGGAAAGAAAGAAGAGAAGGGGAGAAGAGAATACAAAGCAGAGAGACAAGGAGAGAACAAAGGGAGAAGACAAGGATACAAGAGAAGAAAGGAGAGGAGGACACAGAGAAAGAAGAAACAGAGATAACAAGGGGAGAAGGAAATAGAGAGAAAACAAAGGGAGAAGAGGAGAGAGAAAGGGAAAAGAACAAAGAGAATGGGAGAAAGAGAAGAAAAGAGACAGGAGAAGAGAAAGGGGAGACAGTGAGAAGAGACAGAGAAGGAGAGAAAAGATCTGAAGGGTCATACGCAGACATGCACGCACGCCATTTGACCGTCTGGCCATCTTGAGGGACTTTATAGTAAAGGGACCTTTTAGATCTGTTAGATCGTAAAGTCATACTGTGGTATTAATGTAGTTTGACACCAGTCTTAACTGCTATGGCTCCAGGCTATGGAATCCTGGGAGTTGTAGTTCGGTGAAGCACCAACCCTTGTGGGTAGAGAAGGCTAAAGAGTTTGAAAAACAACAGCTCCCAGGATCCCATGCCATTGGTCCATGGCAATTAAAGTGGTGCCAAACTGCATTAATTCTACAGTGTAGATGTGCCCAGGGATAGCTCATATCAGTACACTTTTACCATTCCAGATGATTGTGGGCCTGGGCAAACTTTGGCCTTCCAGGTGTTTTGGACTTCAACTCCCACAATTCCTAACAGCTTAAGTGGCTGAGGGGCAAAAGGAAGGGGCCTGGGGCTGTTAGGAATTGTGGGAGTTGAAGTCCAAAACATCTGGAAGGCCAAAGTTTGGCCAGGCCTGCACTACACAGAAGTATAAGTGTCCTATTACCAAGCGACTCTGAATAACAGTACCTTTAACAGTACCCCAAAATCTGTCACCAGAAGCAAACCATTCCACCTTATCCAGTATTTGGGCGCAGTTGTCCATATAGCTGTACTATAACATACACATAGTTTTTGGTGGCCATCACGTGCCTTCAACATCATGCTGGTGTGTTGTCTGCTCCATCGTGCATTGCTTAACACCGAGATGCTCAAAAGCTTACTCAGTAATGTTGCATTTTGTTTCCTCCGAAGCTGTCTGTTCTCCTCGTGGGGAATTTGCATTCATGTTGACAGAGTTGGAGGTCTTACAGGCAGCAGACTGGTTGGGTAACTACTCTCTAGTTGGCTTTGTCTTATGGCAATCCTCTGATCCTAATTCAGAGGTAGAGCACCTGTTTTGCATACCTGAGGTCTCAGCTTCAATCCTGATCTTCTGCAGATTGGGTAGGGACAGGCTCCTGAAATTTGGTAGACATACTGCCAGTCAATATATGCAAAACCAGCCTTGGTGGATGTATGAGTCTGACTCAACTTTCACAAACTATTCGTGATCTAGTTTGCAAGGTTATTGTATGACCCATGGCTACTATCTGGGACTCTACAACTCTGGTTGGATTTATACTTCCATATAATGCAGTTTGGAACTATATACAGTGGTTCTCAACCTGGGGTCCCCAGATGTTTTTGGCCTACAACTCCCAGAAATCCCAGCCAGTTTACCAGCTGTTGGGATTTCTGGGAGTTGAAGGCCAAAAACATCTGGGCCCCAGGTTGAGAACCACTACTATATGATGTTCCAAATTGCATGATATGACAGTATAAAGGGTAAAGGTTTCCTCTAATATTAAGTCTAGTCGTGTTCGACTCTGAAGAGTGGTGCTTATCTCCATTTCCAAGCTGAAGACTGGCGTTGTCCGTAGACACCTCCAAGGTCATGTGGCTGGCATGACTGCATGGAGCGCCATTACCTTCCCGCCAGCCCTCCTATTGCTCTACTCACATTTGCATGTTTTCAAACTGCTAGGTTAGCAGAAGCTGGGGCTAACAGCAGGAGCTCACCTTGCTCCCCAGATTCGAATCACCAACCTTTTGGTCAGCAGCTCAGCAGTTTAACCCACTGTGCCACCAGGGGGCATATGGCAGCATAATACCTGTATAATGTGGTTTGGAGCCCCTGGTGGTACAGCGGGTTAAATCGCTGAGCTGCTAAACTTGTTGACCGAAAGGCGGTTTGAATCCAGGGAGTGGGGTGAACTCCCGCTGTTAGCCCCAGCTTCTGTCAACCTACCAGTTTGAAAACATGCAAATGTGAGTAGATCAACAAGTACCGCTCTGGTGGGAAGGTAACGGCGCTTCATGCAGTCATGCTGGCCACAT